AGAGAAGGAGGAAGAGGAGAGACTAATAATCTTTAAATGAAAATCAGGGGAAATCTGGATGCTTTTGAGTAAAGAGTTGTATAAAAATGTTATGATGCATCTGTTTTTCGCATTTGGTTTGAGCTGCAATGATAGAAAGATTTATATTACATTATTTCAGGTACTCAAGAATAAAAGTTTGAACAGGATGGAGACTATTAGAAGACAATGAATCATTAGAGATTGAATTTAGTCAAATTACAAAATGATTAACTTTGGAGAAGATGGATATTGGTGATTAAAAAAAAAAAGAAGTGTGTGCAAAAAATGCCTGAAATCTGCTCTTAATCTGATCTTAATCTTAATCTAAGTGGTTACTCAGTATGACATACCAAGAAAAGTACAATAGATAGCAGAGGACAGCCAACTTATTGTCTTGAGAGTCAGATTGTAAGTATTTTAGCTTTTGCTGAATGTGGACACTAGGGTCCTGTTGTTCTATTTTTTGGGCCTCCAAGAACGATGAGCAAAGAAGCATGTGTCATGGTTTCAATGTTATGTGTCCCCCAAAAGCTCATGTGTGAGCCAATGCAAGAAAGTCCAGAGGTGAAATGATTGGACTGTGAGAGTTGTAATCTAACCAGTGGATTAACACACCCATGTGGATGTAAATTATCTGGGTGGAGACTGTAGGCAGGTAAAGTGTTGCTGGAAGAAGTAGCTCATTGGGATTGTGCTTTGGGGTTTGCATTTTGTCCCTGTTGAGGTAAGCTCCCTTTCTGCTTCCTGGCTGTCATGTCCTGTGTTGTTTCCTTGCACCAGGCCCTTCCACTACAAAGCTCTGCCTCACCTAGGACCAGAGTTATGGAACCAGGTGACCATAGACTGAAACTCTGAAACCATGAGCCAAAATAAACTTTTGCTCCTCTTATTGTTCTTGTCTGTTCTTTCTGCCAAAGCATCACAAAAGCTGACTAAAACAGCATGTGTGACTATGTTCCAATAAGATTTTATTTACAGCCGGGTATGGCAGAGCACACCTGTAATCCCAGAAATGCAGGAGGCTGAGGTATGAGGATTGAAAATTGAGGCTGAGGTATGAGGATTTTAAGTCCAAGGCCAGCCTCAGTAATTTAAGGAGACCCCATCTCAAAAATAAATAAATAAATAAAAAAGCTGGGCTGTGGTTCAGCAATTAAGCAACCCTGGGTTCAATCCCTGGTAATAACAACAATAAGAAAAGATTTTATTTATGAAAACAGGGTGTGAGATTCGTTTGGTCCACAAGTTATGATTTGCCAATGGCTCCTAATAAAATGGCATAGTTATTCCATATAAATTGCACGTGCATACACACTGAATCATTTTTCAATTACTTACAATACCTAATAACAGGTAAACTATTATGGAAATAGTTGTTATACTGTGTTGTTCAGGGAATAAGGACTAAAGAACTTTGTGCACATTTAGTACAGATGCAACCAACCATCACAGGTGTAACCACATAGTACATGTTAGTAACACCGCAACTTTTTATTTTTGCCCCCAATTATTTCACATCTAAGGTTGTTGGAAAGCACTAATGCAGAAATGCTGGATACAGAGGGATGACTGTGCATTCTCCTTAAATGTGTCACCTTGGAGTGGGAGTGTGCCGCAGTCCAGCTGCAGCAGAATAAC